CTGTAAATGTCGACAGAAGCAAACCCCAAACCAAATCCACTGCTGCTGAAATGATTACAACTCACAGTGCCCCAAGGGAACAGAGTAGAACTACCCCATAGGGTTTCCAAGGCTGGAGATCTTGATGGAAATAAAGCCTAAAACAAACCCAGTGCTGTTGAGCCGATTTTGACTCACAGCCCCCCTACACAACAGAGTAGCAATGACCCATAGGGTTCCCAAGGCAGCGTATCTTTATGGAAGCCAACTCCCACATCCTTCTCCCAAGGAGTGCCTGGTGAATTACAACAGCCAATCTTTTGGGAAGCAGCCAAGTGCTTATTCACTCTGCCACCAGGGCTCCTGTAGTGCACAGAAGGTGGTCAGTTAAGTGTCTACTGAATTAATGAGGGAAAGAGCACATCCTCACCCAACGAGAGCAGATGCCTGTACGTCTCCAGCATCACCTCCTTGTACAGGTTCTTCTGCTCACAGCTCAGTCTCTTCCATTCTGCCTCCGTGAAGACCACAGTGACGTCCTCAAATGTAACTGGTTCCTGGAAGAGGCAGGAAATCAGCGCACAGCAAATCACCATCAATCTTCCCAAGGGGAGGAACTGAACTGGTGCCCTACAGAGTCTGCATCTGAAGAAGCTCAGCTCCTTCTCTTCACAGAACACAGTTCTCATATCAACTTCTTCTGGACACGACTGTACACCTGCCTTTGTGACAGAATCTGTGGGGAGCACGAGGGATGCACAAAACACACCCTGCCCTCAAACCCGAATGACTTCACTGGAGGAAGGGTCTGTGAATTGATCCAAAAGCACTAAGCAGTATTCTAGAAAGCTATTTGAGAATCCTTGAAGAAGGACATCAAAGATGGGCAAGCACAGGGTGGGCCAGGAAAGAACAAAGGCATCATGCAGGTGGGGCTTGTGCTAGGCATTAAGGGACCATGAAGTTTTACAGAAGGTGGAAGGAAACTTCCACTATGGAGGAAAGTGGGAGCGAGCAGACAGGGTCTGGAATAAGCATTTGTGAAGCGTTCAGGTAATAAACGGACCTGTAATATCACTCTTTGTTTACATCTTTTAATAAGCATTTCTCATATAGTCCTTAATGCCTTGTAAAGTAGCACCTCGTCTGTGAAAAGCAAAACAGTAAGCAAGAAAATGGCAGTAATACTCCAGAAAAAGGACATTTATAAATAATTTTATCTTTAGACACAAAACACTTTAACCCCATTGCCACTGAGCCGACTCTAAGTCATGACTACCTCATGCCCCAAAGGATTTCCAAAGCTGTCATCTTTATGGAAGCAGATTGCCACATCTTTCTTCTGCAAAGACTTGGTGGGTGTGAACCACCCACCTTACGGTTAGCAGCTGAGTGCTAAATCACTGCACCACCAGGGCTCTTAACACTTTATTGAGGTATAATTTAAAATCCATTTGCTTTACAATGCACCAACTTTAAACACAGGAACTCATTTAAACACATTTCTAAAATGTAGATTTCAGTTACCATGGAACATTAACTGTGAGTAACTGAAAACAGTACAAACCCTTCTGCTGCTACTTCAGTTCACAGACCACGACATAACTACAGATATGCGTTGAGATCACTAACACATCATATCACTTCTTTCAAAGTCCCATTGACCGAAAGGGAGTAGGGGAAGGCTGATGCAATCAATCTTGGCTATGATATGAAGTCAAAAACACCCTGCATACGGAAGCTCCATGAGCTTCCTGGTTGGGGAAAGACACTGATGCACGTGGAATGGCAGCACATCCTTTTCACACGTGGAAGTTGCACACTGGGAAGCCACCCAGAACTTGCTGTGTACATCTTTTCCTTATATCCTGTTTGCTACAATAAAGCTGCGATCATGAACACAGCACTTTTTGTGGGTTCTGTAAGTTGTTCCAGCAAATTATGAAAACCAAAGGAGTACTGGGAGCAGACAAGTCAGAAGTGAGGGAACCCAGGAAGTACCCTACGCTTGCAGCTGACATCCTGAGAAGGTAGAAGGAAA